CATTCTCAAGCTTGTCTTGTTTTTCCAAACGTATACTGGAGCCAACAGGAATGTAAGAAGGTAGTAGCAGAAGGGGGCTCTCCCCAGCTGTTAGTTTCTTTTAAGTATCCTTCCCAGAATACATAACACGTTCACTTTTATTTCACCAATTACAACTTGGTAATGGAGCCAATTCTTTTAACTGGATATATTGCCATCTCAAGTAAAACTGGAGTCCTGCTACAGAGAAAAGTGGGAGAAGGTAGGTATTGAGTGGTGACCAGTAATCTCTGCTACACGGAGATACGACCAAAAGGCTAAGGAAGCATAGAGCAATAAAGCCCAGTTAGCTCTGGACTCTGGAAAAAGACTTTTTGGAGAAAGAGACACTTAATTTAGGGTTTGAAAGATAAATAGAATTTTTCCAAATAAAGAATCGGTCAAGGGGATTCTTGACAGAAGTAACAGCATGTGCAAAGGCACCGAGGGAATCTGGCATTATATCTGCCAATTCTGCCCATTTATGCATTCCTAGTTATTTTTCTCTGTTAGTAATAATTGGTCTTAAAATAACAGTTTAATTTTTAATTAATCTAAGTTACTCAAGATCAACAGATTAAAATATGTCGAAAATGATTACCCTGGTATAATTGCAAACAATTTTTCACTTGGACCAAACAAGAACATTTTATCTGATGATAAAGTCTTCCACATTTGAAAAATAATTGAGTTAGAATATTTTGGCATCTTAAAGAGAAATTGATACAGAGAAAAGAACAAACATAATCGTGTCAGGGAGATGTTTGTCTTTTAAACACCAAAGTTAAACAACGCACGCCCATTTATGGACCACATCCTGGGGTCCATAAACCCACACTGAGAGCGCTAAGTCAGGGGTCTGGCCAAGTTAGCCTTAAAGTATGTCACCTCATATTTAGCTATTCCTAATATGACTGTTACTTTGGATCCATGAAGCTGAATTGTTCATTTCTTAAAATGGATTTGGAACCATAAGAAATCTTTAGGATTAGAGAGGGATTTTCATGATTATCTCCTTTGGCTCTGTTAGAGACATCAGAGTCTGCAAACAAAATTTTCCAGAGAAACTTAAATCTTTCGAGAAACCTGAAATTCCTATAACTTAAGGAGTAAATCCCGTTAGGTTTGAGAAGACTGGGAATATATATTCCCATGCCCACTGCCCAGCTTGTCCTCCCACATAGTTAGGGATCTTGTAAGATTAAACCCATCTCTCTTCAGTTTTGAGCCACCAGAACACGAGGGTCAGTACTCCTTTGCTGACTAAATTAGGACGGCCGTGCTTCTTGAAAGGAGTCCACCCGCCAAGGCAATCCAGTGATTTTAGTCTTGTGACATTCTTTTATTTTTGCCAACTTTGGTTTTTGCTTCCTCTCTAATTAGCTAGGATCTAGGCATTCCTAAAAGATATGGCAAACCTCACAGCAACACCTCCCTCCAGCTGGTAACTCTTGACTCCTCATTCGCTTCTCAGCTCCAAAAATCTCTTCCTCCGTCAATTCCTCTTTGGTCTCTCTAACCAAATAAATTCTCCATATTTTATCCTCTCAGTGTACCATGTGCCTGTGTTTTATAGCTTTTCTCATCATTCTTGTTTTACTTTTATTGTGTGTGATATTTGAGTAATAGCTGCCTCTCTCACTGCCTCTCTTCTGTACGTCTCAGGAGGATGGGCCCATATGTGCTTAAATTCACCATTGAATTTTGCTTCCAGTACAGTGCCTGGCCCATAGCAGGTCTTCAATAAATGTTACTTAAATGGTTAAATGACTTAAAAAAATAGAGACTGTACAATCACATTTCACACTACACTCAGAATACAAATGAATAGAGAATCAAATGTATCATATGTCAGTTCATGTGTGGGGCCATCTACAGATAAGAATTTTTAGAATAATTTTTCTATAGTTACATAGAAACATACCAAAGGTCAAAGCCAGAATGTTCTTGGCTTTACATGGATGAAACCTGGTTGAATTGTGATATGACCTCCTTGCAGCCTCTGAGTAGATTGAGGTGACCACAGTGAACCCACAGGATGGAGCCAATCTGTCTTTGTTCCCCACTTTAGTATTCAGCATGATATTGTCCTAATATCTCTGCTTTAAAAAAATTGCAATTATTGAAGGCATTGTTGCTTTGTCATCTATTTAAGACATGTTTGGGTTTTCAAATGAAAAAAACATATGCATTACTATATTTTAAAAATAGATTCCATATATAACACAGTGCTAAATAATTATTTTTTAAATGTTGGCTTAACGATATGTTTATAATTACTAATTAAAGGTATGAAAGGAAAATCAAGCCTTAAGAAAGGACCAGGTTTACTAAAGAAGGATGAATTGCAAAAACTTTTTGGAGATACACCCCTTCAGATATCACTCCAGTTCTCATAATTTAAACAGTTTGGAATAGAATGAGTCCAAATGTTAGCTCAAACTAGAACTATAACATATAAAACCTGGTATAATTTGAAATTGATTCTTTATTTTATTTCATTTCTTTTTTTTTTTTTTTTGTGGTAGTACTGGGGATTGAACACAGAGGTGCTCTACCACTGAGCTATATCCCCAGACCTTTTTTTATTTTTTATTTTGAGACAGGGTCTTACTAAGTTTCCATAGCTAGACTTGATCTTACAATCCTCCTGCCTTGACCTCCTAAATAGGTAAAATTATAGCCATGCACCACTACTCCTGGCTGGATTTGATGGTTTTAAAAATCAAACATTAGAAAGAAAAGAATAAAGATGCCCTTCAATAGATGAATGGATAAAAAAAAATGTGGCATATATACACAATGGAATATTACTCAGCACTAAAAAATAACAAGGTAATGGATTTGCAGGGAAATGGATGGCATTAGAGCAGATTATGCTAAGTGAAGTTAGCCAATCTCTAAAAACAAATGCCGAATGTCTTCTCTGATATAAAGGTGGTGATTCAAAATGAGGTAGGGAGGAAGAGCATGAGAAGAAGATTATCACTAAATAAGGAAGAGAGGTGGGAGGGAAAGGGAGGGAAAAGGGGAATTGCACGGAAGATGGAAGGAGACCCTCATCGTTATACAGAATACATGTATGACGATGTGAGGAAAAAAAAAAAGAAGTGTGTCTCATTAGATTGGGTAGAGAGAAGTGATGGGAGGGGAGGGGAGGGGAGGGGGTATAGGAAGGACAGCAGAATAAAATAGACATTATTATTGCTGTATGTATATATGTGACTGCATGACCAATGTGATTCTGCAACCTGTACACTCAGAAAAATGAGAAATTATATGTATGATATGTCAAGATCATTGTACTGTCACGTGTAACTAATTAGAACAAATAAAAATAATATGGAAAAAAAGAAATATTACAAACATCAACTATAGCCAAAAAAATAAGTTTTCCCACTTACGTTGTAAAGACTTGTGACTTATCAAGTCTAATTTGGAGTAAGCATAAATATTTTATTAGAAGACTTCAGAACTTGGCTTCTTACTAGCCAAGTGACCTTGGGAAAGATTAATAGCCTCAAGTACAAGGTGGGGATATCATATATAATCATTGTGGGAATCAATGACATATCTGTATTGTGTTTGGTACAGGAGAGGCCCAGGCAAAGAACAGGCTCTGCCACCCTCCATTCCAACCCTCCAGTTTCCTCCATATAAATTTATGGACCTCATGTCTGATAGCTGGTTCTGTCTCTTTTTTTCTTAGCTGAAGTGCTAGCTAGAAAAGAAAGTATATTCACTTCATTCATCAATACTTTATTAACTCATAGTCTACTAAACATTCTTCCAATTGCTTGGAATGTGTCAATAAGCCCAACATACAACCCCTACCCTTATGTAGCTCATATTCTAAGGGACATAGAGAACCTGCAGATTATTTGTAAAGTGCTCCCTGCTGCTTACCTCATGACTGAATATTTTATCAGTTTGACAAATCGTAATTATTGACACTGGGAAATATTTTTTTGATTTTTAAAATTTTAGTTTGTTATATATGACAACAGAATGCATTATAATTCATATTGCACATATAGAGCACAATTTTTCATATCTCTGGTTGTACACAAAGTTCAGTCACATTCTTTGTCTTCATACATGTACTTAGGGTAATGATGACCATCTCATTTCACTGTCTTTTCTGCTCTTCTAATCCCTCCCTACCACTCCCTCCCCTTTCCCCTTTGCCCTATCTAGAGTTCATTTAATCCTCCCATCCTACCTCCCTGCAGCATATTATGAATTAGCATCCTTAAATCAGAAAAATCATTTGTTTTTCTTTGGGCGGGGGGATTGGCTAATTTTACCTAGAATTATATTCTCCAGCTCCATTCATTTACCTGCAAATGCCATAATATTATTCTCTTTTATTGATGAGTAATATTCCACTGTGTATATACACCACATTTTCTTTATCTATTCATCTATTGAAGGGCATCTAGGTCGGTTCCACAGTTTAGCTATTGTGAATTGTGCTGCTATAAACATTGATGTGGCTGTGTCCCTATAGTATGCTGTTTTTAAGTCCTTTGAGTTTAGACAGAGGTGTGGGATAGTTGGGTCAAATGGTGGTTCCATTCCCAACTTTCCAAGGAATCTCCATATTGCTTTCCATATTGGCTGCACCAATTTTCAGTCCTACCAGCAATGTATGAGTGGGCCTTTTGACACTGGGAAATATTTTTAAATTAATATTCTGTCATAGCAATAGTTCTTCTCTCCCTTACTCTTTCCCTATCCTTTCCTTTTCCCATTCTCTCCCTTCTACCTTCTTCCTATATGTATATTTGAACGGTAAAGATATCTTTACCCATGTTATTTTTTATTTCTTCTTAGCTTGGTTCAAACTGTGTCATCTCAGTCCCTTTCACAGGAAGTATGTTTTGGGGTCTCTGGGGGAGGGTAATTTGGTGGAAAATAGCCTTGTGGATCCCAGCATTGGGAGAAGCCCGGTTGAATTACACCTCTTTCTCTCTTGTTAGATCGTTGGCTGTGACCACCAGCTGGGAAGCACCGCCAAGGAGGATAACTGTGGGGTCTGCAATGGAGATGGGTCCACCTGCCGGCTGGTCCGAGGGCAGTATAAATCCCAGCTCTCTGCAACTAAATGTAAGACACTACAGAGATGGGGCAATCTTTGGACTTGTTAACTTGTTATCCTTCCCTGGCTCGGCTCTGGTTCCCTGAGCAACCCGGGAAATAACACCTCCACCAAAGCAGAGAAGAATTTGAAAATGCTGAGGAAAGCTTCATATCCCCACTTTGTGGATCAGTTTAAATGGGTCAGGTCAAGTCAGGTCACTGGTTGCAATGCCAAGAAGGAACTCTTTCCTTCTGAGGCTCAGCAGGAGGGAACTGGACATGTGTCTAGAGATGCTGTCTGAGCAAACATGGATTCTGCTGCCCAATAAGAGGATGGACTATATTCAAGCTCCTGCCTGGGATATAGAGGAGAGAGTGGGAAGCCAGAAACCAGCTGTTGCTGTCAAATCACATGATTTTTATTTACTAAGGGGCCTTTCAGGATTAATATTGGTGGTGATTATGTAAAGCCCTTTATTGATCTTTATGTCCCAAATTCTGTACACCAGCAAATATGTGCTTACTATATATATGCATGTGCCGAGAATTTTAGCTGATCATCTCACTTAATCTTTTTAGCAATCACAAGAGCAAGGTAGTATTAATTTCCATGAGGTGGATAAGATGACTGAAGCTCACTAGATTATGTGACTTTCTTAAAGTCACAGAGCTATAAAGATCCAGTTAAGACCACTCTGATACTCAAGGACATAACACATTTAGTTGTATTTTGTCCTTGCTTGGCCTGTTTTCTCCAGATATTACCTTTATCCAGAATCTCAATTGATCTGTGAGTCAGGATCTCTTTCCACCTGTCTCCCCTGACTCAGGAAATGAAAATGAGTATCTTTGCTCCGTATGGTTTTGTTCTCCTGACTTGTCAATTTGTTGGAGAAAAACAATTGGCTTAAGGTGAGTTTGTGGCTTTATATGGACTTGGAGGTCAAGAAGGAAGATAAATGCAATTGTTCTGAGGTGCACTGAAGAGCTATTCAGAGAGGTTATAAGGCGACTTGCCAGAAGGGTGGGTCTGGGGAAGAAGGAGCAGGAAGACAGACCTAGGACCTTCAACACAGGGGGAAAAAAAAACAACAAAAACAGAGGCACTAGCTTCAGGAACTCTCCACATTCTAGCTTCCCAGAAGCCATGAAAAAAAAAAAAGAAAGAAAAATATAATTCTGTAAAAATTAAAAATTTTTAAAAAGACTGTCAGGCTAAACTGAGGATGAGGTAACTTAGACATTAATACAGTACAACCAGGTGAGATTTTTCTTTGGTCATGTGTTGTAACTTTTATAAGATGAAAAATTAAAGAAATTTGAAGATAGAAACCAGGAATGAATAGAGGCGTGATTCTTAGATTCATCTCTGAAGCTATGGTTGGATATTTAAGGGAACCATTACATTGAAAGGGCAACTCTTGGGCTATAATTGTAACTCAATGGTAGAGTGCTTGCCTAGCATGTGTGAGGCACTGGGGTCAATTCATAGCATCTCATATAAATAAATAAATAAAATAAAAGGGCCATTGACAACTAAAAAGAAGAGGAGGAGGAGGAGGAGGAGACGACTCTTGCCTCTTACAGAATTCTTTAAGGAATACTGGAAAAATTAAAATCTTTCTATTTGTCACATAATTGAGTCGGTGCCCATTATCTAGGAATAACCACGGGCACAAAGGCGGATGCCACGTATGTGTAATAACTCCTGTCTGGTGACTTCTGACAGCATGTGTTCCTGGTGGGGATCCTTCTGTATTCTCATGCCCCCCACCTTTCATTTTCACGGAGGAGCCAGGACACTGATCCAATAGACATTCTTCTTGTCCTCCTGTTAGGGAGTGACTCATGACCACTGGGCCTTGAATCACAAAGGTGTAACAAAGGTGAAGAAACTCTTAAGGAAAAAAAAAAATGAAACAAATTGGGAGCCATATGTCAAGTTCAGGTCTGCAAACAAATACCTCAATGAAAAGTGCTCTATTCAAGACCAACAGTGGGTAAATTATATAACACACAAGCCGATGATTATACATAATGACAAAATGCAATTGATTCGTTTACCTGAGCACTCATGATGCCTCATGACAAAATGATTTATATCAATAAAGTCCAGCATATGCAATACACCTCACCACAATCTATAGCAGATGCTGACCAAACTGCCTCACTTATGTTTTCTCCACCCCAGAAGAAACTTCTACCCTATATTTACAGACTGCGAGGCAGCCCACAGGCAGGGAAGATTAGACTGCTCTGCAGGACCCAGAGTGTGGCCAGGTGAGCTGTGCTCCACCCCTGAGGGTCTGGAGGAGTTCTGCCAGGTCTCTCCTCAAGTTCTGCCAAAAGGAGCCATAAGCCAGCCACATGCTCTTTTCGAACTCTTAGCATTTGGATTCCCCACATTGAACTCATTTTCTTTCTAAATTTATATCCAAGGTTTCTTTTTTTTTCCCCTGTATGTTATCAAGACTCAGGGGAACAAAGAAAAAACAGAAGAGTGGAGAAAGACTAAGGTCGAACGTGCCAGAAGGAAAAAGAAAAATCAGAGGAACTTATCAAATGGCTGCCATTTACTAGTGAATAAAAAAGAAACCATTTTTGTAGGAAAAGACATTATAATTGACTATTACAAATACAGACCATGGAAATAAAGAAAAATCAAGGCTCTTCCCTCTTTTTAAAAGTACAAGACTATCTTTACATTTTTTCCTGGTTACTTCTAGACTCGCCCAGCCTAATTAAAGAAAAAAAAATAATCAATTAGTTAACATTACCTTGCTTTTTATTCTTAAATTGTAAATGTTCATTTTCCCATGAGTTTTATTAACTTGTATCATATTATGTCTTTTCCAAATATACTTAGAAAGTACTTTGTCTACAACTTTGTAGACCTCTCATCTCTCTGTATTTTGAAACACCTGGAATCCTAAAACTAACACAC